GAAATGGTTTAAACCGAGATACACAAACTACACATAGTAAATCTGGTTTTAGACCTAAGTAGTTAAAATATCACAGCTGTTATGTTAGACTACGCAAAAAACTTTAGACTTTTTTCCGTGTCTTAGGATGAACTGTAGATTTTTGTCAAAGGTACAGAGGTATGTAAGGCATTTCTCACTGCTCCTGGATTTGAAATAGAAGTTGTGCACTGCTGAGAAACTTCACATAGAAGACTGCTAGAAAAAAAGAACTGTGTAAGTTGAAAGATAGTTTTACAGAATTTATATTTGAATCTGTATAAAACATGTCTCTCTTTTTTTTTTTTTGGAGGGGTGGTATTTGTTGTTGATAGCAGTCACAGAGACAGGGTCAGTGAAGCACACAGTGAACTTGCAAAATTATTAACAGAAAAGGAATTGCGGGATGCCTTGCTCTTGATCTTTGCTAATAAACAGGTACTTGTGATATTATTTTTTTTTTCACTGTTACCCTTTTCCTCAATTTGTATATCAAATTCCAACTTCCTGAACCCTCTGCTGTGGGTAGGGTACGGTAAGGTGGAAAGGATAAAATATAGATGTTTTCCTTATGTTTAATGCTGGCAAAATAAGCGATGCTAGCATGCTTAGTAGATTCAACAACCAGTTTTTGGTTTATGATAACAGGGAGTAAATGTGTAACTGTTTAAATTGTCTTTTGTGTGTTTTGAAATATTTTTGTATGATCTGTAGCTTCAGTCTAAGCTATCAGTTAATAATAAAATGCTTCAAACATAATACAAAAGAATAATTCAGTCTTTGTGTCTGATTCTGTTGCAGGATGTAGCCGGTGCACTTTCAGTGGAAGAAATCACAGAACTGCTGAGTCTCCACAAACTCTGCTGTGGCCGTAGCTGGTATATTCAGGGTTGTGATGCCCGAAGTGGTACAGGACTTTATGAAGGATTGGACTGGCTTTCAAGGCAGTTAGTGGCTGCTGGTGTCCTGGATGTGGCTTAATTTTTACAGCAATTTAAGGTTGTAGTTTACTGTTGTGTTTTGTTTGCATGATATAGAATGTTGTAGCCAGATCTGCTGTCTGAAGAGGGGACTTTATTTAACTCGGTGGTTGCAGAAAAATGTAAGCCTTTATCCTAGATCGGATAATTGATGCAGTAAATTTGTGCAGTTACAGTGTTTTTGAAATTTGATACATTTACAAGTAATGGGATGGGCTAGTTACAAGGGTGCCTTGAAATTCTTTTTGATGAAATTAGGTTGTTACAAATTAAAATTCTTCCCTAATAAAAAAATAAAAAAGCATTGGAATTAATCTAATAATTATAACAAGGTTACAGTAGTTCATTAGTATGAGAAAAAAGTTTGAGTGGTTTAGAAATACTTTCCCAGGAAACTATTCCAAAATCCATCTCAAGTTATTAGAATAGCCAGCTCTGTCTATTAGTCAGAAATAAATGGTGCTACTCTGTAATATCTAAAGGTGGCATTGAAAATTACATGCAAACACACCACAAAAAGAAATTTTTTCCCCCATTATTTGTTAGCTTCCCTGCTTATTACCAGAAGGCAGCATAATGGGGCAAAGAAAACTGAGAATGGGGACCAGTGTTGCAGCACAAGGGGGCTGTGGCATCATTTAGCTAGTTGTTTTCTAGTTGTAGGGGGAGGAGATATTTGGGGTTTTTTTTGTTAATTGTACACATGCTAAATTATTTATGGACAGACTATAGTGGTATTGAGGTGAAAGTGTTTTGTGCGTGCTTGAGGATATAATCTGCCTTTAGAGATTAATCTTACTCCTCAAGAAGTTGAGTTTTTAAAAAACAAAAATAACCACCAAACTACTCAAACTTCTTTAAGTAGTGTGCTGTGATATCAATCCAGCTATGTACTTTTATGTAGAAGTCATGCTGCCAGATTAAGGTAGTGGCCTTAAAATATTAAATAACACAGTGTAAAAGCAGTGTGCACTAATTATAACTCTTACTTAAAAGAGCAGATGGTAAAATGTGATATAAACCTTCCATAATTAGATTTTCAGTTCTTACTGTATCTTCTACATGGAACTGTCACCAGTGCCTCTATTTTTGAAGATTACTCATTCACAAACCCATGAAATATGGGTGTAGCGCTGTTTTAATTTAGAGAAAGTTGCAGAGATATCTCTTTTTCTGCTGTATATGCAACTCTGCTAACAATTTTATCTGATATGTGCGTCAGAATCTTCTGAACTCCTCTTTCAGTGCACAGCCATTGCCAGTTGAAGAATCCATGCCATGGACCTCTTCCTGTTGTTAGAGGAGCTACAAAGAGCATGACCAATAGATCAAAACTGTGTATCATGACTTTTCTTACTGGAGTAGAGGTGAATAGGGAGAACCAGAGAGTGGAAGTGAGCAGTTGTTTCACAGATGGGTAGATATTTTTGCCACACTTAAGTGTGTTTACCTGTGAGAGCTCTGAACTTCACCAGGCAAAGAAAACGTATCCCATTATCTGTGGCTATGGCTTTTATTGTAATATTATCAATTTTACGATGTTTTCCCACTACATACCTTAGGTAAAGCCAAGAATGTATAAACAAATAATTTAGTACATTTGCACTTTTCTTCAAGAGGAAGCAGTTAACTACTGCCTCATAATGAGGCAGTAGTTTTCTCTTGTTACTTAACCCCATTTTAGTGAAATTTAAATGCAGCTTCAGTTTCAGTGAGTCTAACGACTTGAATAGTAGCTGAAAGAACACTAATCTTTATAGTAGTTAAATGTTTGTGAAATGGGCTTCAGTGTCTACCTACGTAAATAAGTACTGAGAAAGGGTATTTACTTTTTCTTCAGACAGCCTGATAAATTTGGAAGTAGTTTACAACAGAGTGAAGGGTGTTTTCTTGTACCTGCTGACTAAAAATTGTTCATCCTTCCCAGCCTGTAACTTTCTGCACACTAGACAGTTGGCTGCTCTGACCTGAGCATCTGCTTAGCCTGTACTGCAGAGCAGTCCCAGACCTAGTTAGGGCTGACTGCCCCTTCATAGCCCTTTTTAAGGTGTGCACAAATTCTGCTAAGGATGGTAGATACCTTTTCCTGGAATATTTTTAACAGAGAAGACGTGTATTTAGAAAAATCCTGATTTTGTAATTTTATTTTAGCTGGCTTATGCTTCAGTTATACATGCCTCTCACTATAGTTCTACTTCAAAATGTTCAAGGTGACCAGTTTGGATTTATTGTAACATTACATTTGAGAGCAGAGGAAAAATTCTCACTCATGCGTATTTTTGAGTACAATGGATTGCTTGTGACACATGGAATGCTACCATAAAGTGTTTTTAAGTGGAGTTTATTTAAGATGACTTGAAGTAACTGTGAAAGTGTTGCATTCATCTGTGAACTGTTCAGTGTAAACAGGTACACTGAGGTTTATTTGTATTATAAATTAATGCTACATATAAACTGCTTCAATTATAAATTTAAGCTTGTTTCACCAGTTTTACTGAACTTTAGTTTTTTGTGTACTGACTCAGTTGAGTTGGAGTATTTCTTCAACTAAACTCACTCAAGCATTACTAACTATGGGGATTATTTGAAAAGATTGTGTAACTTTTCACAGGATTTTGGCTTAATTGTGAAACTGAGTAAATACGACATCCAGTGACTGTGGTGTGGCTTTTTTTTTTTTTTTTGAAGAATCTCAGCTCAAAATTAATACAGCTAGGCTAACTGAAAAATAAATGTTTTATCACTTGATATGGTCTTACTGTATGCTACCTTCAAATTTATCGTGGACTATGTGGTACATGAGGGTTTTATTCTGAGATGTCCTTATTCTTAACTGTCGGAGTAGCTGTGGATGTTACGTAAAGATTTCTTGAAAGAAGGGCTCTTTTAGTGGAAACAATTCATGAGCTGCTGCAATTTGAGTTGCCCAGAAAATGAATTATTTTCAATAAAAGTATCTAAAACTTTGAGAATTAATTTTAATAAACTTGTTTGTCTGTTAAGGTCATCTCAGAATAGAAGTGTGCTCCATTTAACTTACTGTAGAATTTTCCTTATTGATCCTTGAAGATATCCTTTTATCTCACTGAAGATAAGCTTCCTGGTGGTAACAGTTCTTGAGGGACTGAATTTGATTAGCATGCATCACATCTCATTTCATGAATGAAGTTACCAAAACTCCTGAGTGTTGTCTTGAGTGCACTGGTATTATGTGAACATAAACAGTCAGAGTTAATGTTACTGTATTTAGAGTAACTTAACTATCCAACAGAGTAACAGGACCGTATTTAGCCACAAATTCATGGCAGCTTGAGAAGTTGTCTAAGCTTTCATTGAGGACTTTCATCAGAAACACTTGACTTAGGCTAAACTTAACTTAGCTGAACTAAGCTTATCATTTATTTTAAACTAAGTATGGAAGTAGAAGTAGTAATGTTTGTAGGACTTTGGGTAAAAATGAAGCCAGAAACAGACTCCCTAGGCTAAAATAATGAGAAAGCAAACATAAGAAAAAAACATCACTGGCAATGCCAAACACACTGCATAGTACTTTATACACTGGCATTCCAAGAGTTGATCATTGCTCTTGGACACAGAAGACATGTGCACTACCGTTTTTAAAAGGACAGAGGTAGATTACATACCTTGTGACAGCAGACAGTATTACAATTTAATGTAATTTTTGATGCAAGTACATATGATTGGTTTACTCAGCTTAGGATCTCTGACCTTTTCCTCTTGTCAAAGATTTCAATACTGTGAAAAGGATTCATTAGATATGAAAGATCCAAATAAACATGAAAAAGTCACAAACTATACCCTGATCCAATTTTATGAACACTATCACGACATAGGCCATGGTTTAGTGGTGGTTTTGGCAGTGTTAGGTTGATTGGTGGACTCTTATGATCTTAAAGGCCTCTTCCAACCCAGACTGTATGAGACACAGTGTGGGTTTTTATCTTCAGTTTTGCATAGAAAAGATGCAAGAAAAACAGATTGTAAGAAACATGCAGATGTTTTTACTTTAAAATACAAAGATACCAGAAATACAGACTTAGGGCACTTTAGGTACATTAAAAATGGTAGAACTGGTAATTGCTCTGTCCTGACATTTCTTATATCCAGGAATTATCAAAAATGTTTGTTCTTTTTGGGTCCCACTGTGCCACGTTTTTTCTGCTTAAGAGGGAACCTTCAACTCCTAGCTTACTTCACTGTGATATTAATGATGCTGATATCCTCATAGGGTTTGTCAGTTTTGGGATTGACTTTAACATTTGAGATTCTTTGAACGACTTCCATTCCTTTAGTCACCCGTCCAAACACGCTGTGCTTGTTGTCTAGCCATGGCTGTTTGAGGGCAAGAGAAAGAAAAAGCATATTAAAATAGAAAGCAGCATGTAGGTTATGTACCAAACCAGAAAGAGGCTGACATGAATATATTTTGTATGTTCCATCTATGAAACTTAACACTATGTAAGTAGTACACATTAAGAGTGTGGCTAATACACATTCATATGCATTTAAACTCATCACCTTCTGAATTTTTTTCTAAAGTACCACAGAGGTGAAGCTCTAGCAATGAAATAGCATTTCATAGTTTATCTTAAAGTGTATTCTCAGTTCACAGAAATGCTGTTTCAGTCTCTCTATATCATGGTATTTTCACAGCTGAATTCTAAGTGCTAGTCCAGAATACAATTTAATTCAAAGTCCTATTCCTGCAGTATGTGCAGTTAGCAATCTGAATATGGGCACTGATATAACTTAGTAACCTTCAAAATTATGGCAGATGGAGGCTTTTTAAAAAAAGACACATGATTTTGAAATAAGTGCTATACAAATGCAGTCTCTGTAAGTGTTACCTTTAAGGATTTGTTTTGTACCTGTTACATTCACATACCGAAATTTCTTTTTTTGGCTCTCAAATTGTACACAGATCAAAGAAAATCTTCAAACCTGAATATTGGCTTCTTTGTGTAGCTAAAATTAGGCAATATTAAGGAATCATTCTGGCACCATATCCAAAAACTTCAAACGATCTAAGCCACAGCTAAATTTCCATCAAGTTTAAATCAGTATATTAACACAAAATATTCCTGTAATAAATAATTGCAAACATGTCTGATTTACTAAGAATTTGATGTCACCTTTATTCCCATTAAAGGCAAAAGGCCTCTTAGTCACTACTGACAAAAATACTTTTTCTATTTCTTAAAGGAGTGTTTCTGTGTATACATAATTTATTTGCAAAATAACAATAATCTCTTATTTAGAATAGTACTTGTATTACTTTTACCATCAGAAGAAAATATCTTTCTACTATCTAGTTAGCATCTCTGGCCTTAAATTGAGCTTTACTACTTACAGTTGGCACTACTGTTATAAAAAACTGGGATCCATTGGTATTTGGTCCTGCGTTAGCCATGCTGAGTGTGTATGGTCTGTCATGTCGTAAAGTTGAGTGAAACTCATCTTCAAATTCTCCTCCCCAAATACTTTCACCTCCCATTCCTGTACCAGTTGGGTCACCAGTCTGAATCATGAAACCCTGCACAGAAATTAAATGTTATTTATTCTATGTGATGCTGTCAATAAGCAAAAATGTTTTATACCAGGTGACTTTTTTTTTTTTCAAACTTACTTCAAACTTTTCAACAAAATAAGTGTTAAAATGCTGTGGATAAGGGACAAAGCATTCTTTAAGTGATGATCAAGTACTTGGCAGGGGGGAGAAGCCTACTCACTGTTCTGCTAGTGACGGACAAGAAACCTATCTGTACATCCTGCAAACACTTAGGCTGTATCAGCTTGCTTCTGGTGCAAAAGAAATAAGAAGCCTCACAAGAAATGCCTTCTGACATGAAACAAAGTCTTAATTCAAGCAGGATTGCTGAATTAATCTTTGTCTTAATTTTCAGATTTCTTCCACCTTGGCAGTTGCAGAACTGACAACTATTAAACAACTTCAGTAAGTGATAAAGCTGTCTATAACCTCAGAGTTCTTCCAACTTTACAGAGAACTCTGAAGCCATTCCAGAAATCCTTTGTGCAAAACAGAAAGGAAAAGTTAAACAGAGAGGACTGACCTCAAAAGGTACAATATCTAAAACAATAAAAAATTAACTTTTTACAAATTACCTTGATGATACGGTGAAATATGTGTCCATTGTAATAACCATTTCTGCTGTGCACACAGAAGTTTTCCACTGTTTTGGGGCACCTAAAATTGTGTAACAGAAAATAACAGGCTACAATAAATAACTTAATTGTATGGTGGCAAGGCCATGAAATTTCAGCTGAGACTAAGATCCTGTTGTACTGAGCAGTGTTTCACCACACTGTAGAAAGGGCTTTCATCAAATAAGGAAAAAAACAACCCCCCACCGACTCAAACCCAGAACTGGAAGCACAAAAACTTGAGAGGAGTACAAAGTTGCATAATTACACAGGAAGGCAGCAGCAGTGTTCGTAACAGAGGGATATTTTAGCTATTGCTGAGCAGTGCTTACACAGCATCAAGGCCTTTTCTGCTCCTCACACTGCCCTGACAGCAAGTACACTGGGAGTGCACACGAAATTGGTAGGAGACAGCCGGGACAGCTGACCCCAACAAACAAAGGGATATTCCATACCATATGGCATCGTGCTCAGCAATAAAAGTTGGGAGAAGAAGAAGGAAGGGAGGGACGTTCAGAGTGATGGCATTTGCCTTCCCAAGGAACCATTACACGTGACGGAGCCCTGCTTTCCTAGAAGTGGCTGAACACCTGCCTGCCCATGGGAAGCAGTGAATTAATTCCTTATTTTGCTTTGCTTATGTGCATGGCTTTTGCTTTACTTATTAAACTGCCTTTATCTCAACCCACAGGTTTTCTCACTTTTACCCTTCTGAACCTCTCCCTGTCCCACTGTGGGGGATATGAGTGAGCAGCTCTCTGGGGCTTAGTTGCCAGCTGGGATTAAACCATGACAGTCAGGAACTAAATCTGTTCTTCAAAGCCTAGTTCAAGGCACCACTGATTAGATTGTCCTTCCCCTGCTTTTTACTTACGTAGTTGATTTACAAAATCAATTAAGGAGCGTATGCTCCATAAGCAGAAAGCTGTTCACTCTTTTACCTCCGTAACTCTATTAAGTTATGTATCTAAGGTGTCCAGTGTTGCATACAAGAAGTAAAATCTAAAAATACAGTGGTTTAATATTACAGAACTTGCAGTAAGCAGAGTCAGTTACCTCCTCTGAAACTACTCACAAACATTGTTTGGAAGCAGGTGGAATATTGTTAACAGAATAAAAGGGGGAAAAAACCAACCAACCCACCCCTTCACCTCTGTGACTTAATTATTTATTTTTTTTACTTCTGAGAGATTTGTTACCAGAGTGAAAATTCTTTGTGATAGTTCTTCCACTAGTTTTATAAAATGGATTAGTAGCTGGGGTAGATCTACATTGACAGGTTTATGCCGTCACACACATTTTCCCAGCAAATGAGAAAACAGCCAAGTTGAGTCCACAGCTGTAGAGTTACTTCAGCTATGACAAGGAACATTAGCTTGGGCTTAGTGATACTCTAAACCATCTTGTGAAAAACAGTACTAATTGCATGAATAACAGATTTTTTTGCTGAGCAGTACGTAGTCATTCACAACTTTATTCCACAAGCCCATGGCCGAAGATTTAAAGGGCATACAAAGCCACATCCTATATGCTCGTCTTCGATTTTTTAATTACATTCATCATAAAGAGATTTTAAATTCAAAGCTCAGCATGGAGAAAATACTAGAACAATAACCAAGCCTGGTAATACAGTATTTAATTTAAAAATGCATACAAAACATTGCAGTGTCCTGCACTAGCAGGACCTAGCAACAGTATGCATGCAAATACAGTGAACACACTGGCACTGGCAAGTCAGAAATAACGTAGCTTGGCCCGTGACTCGCTGGTAAGGGCTGTTCCATTACTGCAACCTATATGCCACAATTATGAATTCCAGAAACTAGGGCCTGATGCAAGGACACATTGGTGAAGAAAGCAGTAAAAGAGGAGCAGCCCTGCAGGGCAGAATTGAGGTTGTGTTGCTTTACCTGCACTTATGACAAAACATGAACTTGGTTTTGGAGAAGCATGGACTACGATTAAAAAGTTTAAGTTTCAATGTATAGCAATATATATATAATAATACATAAATTTACTGCTTCATAACAAAATCTTCACACAAAATTCACAAAGAAGAGATGCTGAAACAGTAACTTTAGCAATTGTCATCCATAGAATGCTTTTGCAATTATATGCCTGCCTTTCAATATACACAGTGGCATAAATTTTGTGTTGCTCTTGAAGGAGCTGCAATAACATAAAATGAAGTAGAACAGCCACGTTTGGAAGTTGCAAACTGTACTATTCCTCTGGCTTACCAAGACCTGTTGCCAAACCTACTGCTGCTGCCAATGTCATTCTTTTTCAAGACGGAATCAAACAGCACTGCCTTACAATAATGTGTAGCATACACAGAAGAGCATCATGACCTATCCACATCTGCAGTTTAGGG